TTGTCTATCCTTTCTGGTTCACCCAGGCTGAAGTTCTGGCATTCAGAGTAATGCCTGAGGTTTTCTGGCATATATAATGTGAAGAAATTCTTGTGACGCAAACTTTTCTGTTATTTGAGCTCTTCACCTATATCTACAGCAGAGCGACAGGAATAAATAGTCGTTTGAGACAAAAATTTGAAAAACAGCTTCATTTACTGTTAAAAGTCGCCCTGCAAACCGCGACGGGAAGAGAACATCAAAACAAAAAATGCTGCCAAAAAAACTCAATAAATAACACAAGGCAAAACACTGCTGGTACATTTCTTTGCGAAGCTAGATCGTGAAATCTCTGATGCGACGTTTTTGTAGGGCGTAAACACACGACGACGATTGATTTCCTGACAAACTGGGTAATATGAGATAATATAAAGTATGAAACAACACGAAGTAACGCGCACAGCCTCAAGTGATCGATATACCGTATTTCCTTGAATAAGTGCCCACCCCTTGGCCATTCAAACTTGTAACTCTGAATAAGCGCGACACCGGAACCCTTTCTTTTTCAGCTTTCATAACATTTTAAACTTTTACTACCTTAGATGAATATGTTGGGAGAGATTCTTGCTTTAAGAGTTATATTACGCCGATGTATTATCTTTCCTTTTTATATGGCTGGCTTCGCAAGCGGTGCAAGATGCAGCGAATTCTGTGAGCTGATTGGCTATTAACCCTTGCTTATTTTTCGTTTTCTGCGGTGGCCAGCGTTGCAGCCATTTTGTCTTTGTGTAACCTGCAGGCAAGCTCTCGCTTGGCTCTTATCGCTTGGCTCAGGTTTGAGTTTTCCTGCTTGGTCAATAACGCATTACTGGATCTACCGCGCTCTATGTTAATTTCCAAACCACTCTAGCGCACAGCGCTTGACTCAGTATTTAAAGTTGGTTTTTCGGAAAAAGTCAACGTCCCACCCCTCTCAAGAAGCTTTTAGAATATAAAAATTCAAGGACTTTCTAAGGATTGGTTAAATTCATTGGGGGACTTGCCCTGAAATTAACAGACTTGCAAGACAGTACGAACCCTGTTAAAGTTCAAGGGAGTTTAAACTTGTTCGTAACGTGTCATTAAACGAAAGTTGGTCTTTGTCTGTTTAAAAGCTTTGTCAGCTTGTTCAACATCTATCTTGATTTGAAAACAATTATTATTACCCCCGGTCTCTGTTTATTCACGATTTTAATCATCGTTGCGGAGGAGGTAGCGCAAAGAGATTTTCAACACCAGTGCGTTAATCACATCGTACCTATAATGTCTGTAATCTCTCGCAACTATCTAGAGGATTCCGGCACCAATATAGGTCATATGAAGGCCAGTGACAAAGAATCTTATGTGTACTGCATGAATATCGTTTAAAAAAACTGGAACAGTGTGTAAACTATAAATGCGACATAAAATATCAGTGAGAAAAAGCCGCCATGTATTGTGGACTCTGCGTTAAACAGCAAAAGAAATTATAGGTTGTAATACGCCGAGTTTATTCCCAATAACTGGTAACCGGATGCTCAAAAATTACAGCACCAAGCGTCAGCTGTCAAAGATTCCGAACACAGCGGAAAAAAAGTCGTCGGTTCTGGAATTTACTTTGTTTCCGATCCGAAAACAAAAATCTGGTAAAATTGATTAGAAAACAAAACACTCAGGCCGCCAGTTAAATGTCGTAGTAAATAAGCGTCGCAGCCTATGTCAGTATTAATGAAGTTAACTAAATCCGCAAGCATTGACTAAGAAATGTTTCTTCGACGTGACTGTAACTGCCGCAACACACTCCGGGCGAGCGCTTTGTCTTGTCACTATTTTTAAGCGCCGGCCATGTACACTTTTTTCGGATACGGCTTCTTTAATTACCTTTTCACGCCATAGGATGATGACATGATTGTGTAAAAGTTGACGCCTCTATCAGATTAGGAGCGAAATACGATCAAAAATTTTACCCAAGCAAGCCACTGGTATCCAGCAGAGAATGCGGACTAAAAGTACGGATTCTCTGCTGGATACCTAGACTTTTTTTGGTTGCTAACGGCGTGAGGCTCGTTATGCGGCTTTCACGTGCCGAACAAGCGGGGTACGAGCGAGTGAGGGCTTTTGACACAAACAACGAGTGAATAAAACCCCGTACATAGTACTTTCTATGTCGTGAGCTGTTTATTGCACATAACACGAGAATTTACATTGAAATAATTTTCTGAACGCAAATTAGAAACAAAAACTCACTAATAATGCAAATTTAATGGCAATGGAAAATGTCGCAGTACGTGTACATCAAGGGAATAAAGCTAGTGCTGAACGGAAAACTGCACGGCAAGAGTTCCATATAACCCCATACATTAATTATGCGTAGAGTGTTGCAAAGAAACCTTTATATTTAGTCTTTATGAAATGAATGCATAATTAATGTATGGGGTGATATGGAACTCTTTCCAACTGCACTTACAAAAGTTTTTTTTTTTTTTTTAATCTAAGTACGATATCAATAAACCAATTCGAGCAAAGTCCAAATTTTGCGAGCGCTTTTAAATTGAGAATACGAGCATGCGAGCAGTTGCAAAAATTTGCGAGCATGAGCAAGCGAGCGCCCGTATAATTCTTTCAAGGAATTCGATTGGTTATACTTCGACACGTGAAAGAGCTGTACGCCATTCTGATCGGCTATATAGGCTTTTTTCACATGTGAAAATAAAGCGCATAGATTTCTACAAATGAGCTTTATGGAACAAAATTCTCGTGTTATGTGCAATAAAACCCCATACTTGATTATGCATTCAATTCTTGGATAAAAGAAAGCACAGGCAAAACAACAGATTTCCTTTGGGATTACGGCTTTGTTTTCGATTGGTGTGGGGTTATACGGAAATCTTTCCGACTAACCTTCAAGGTTTGTTGTCTCATGTGCACATTTTGATCTTCAGTAAATCAAATCTAAAACTTCAAGTTTTCGGGCTTTTTTCGCATTTACTTCGCACTTTGATCATTAAAATATCCTCAACCGAAGAGTCAGCAAACACTACGAGTATCCACAGAGTTAGAAATGTCGGTGAACTTGTCATACTCCTTCATCCATCTTCAAAAATGTTACAAAAAAGGTGTCGATACTTCAGTTGAAAACCCGCAGAAACGCGTCGAAAACACTCAAATGGCGCAGAACGCGACAAACCAATTCTACTCGCGCATGTGCAGACAAAACGCCTCTCTGCTCTCCACCTCTGATCTGAACACATGACATTTGGCCGAAAAGCATCCTCGTAGAGGGGGACATAGGTAGACTTACTCACAAATCGCGCTCTTGAGCGCGTAGCGCGACGGCGAGCGCGAAGCGCGAGCGAGCCGAGCCGAGCGAGCGGATCCTACCACACCAGAACAGAAAACCAAGCGAACGACTTTGAGAAACTCTAGGGCATAGGGGGGTTCTGAACACCGCAATATCATAAACAAAGTAGAGGAGACACCGCTTCACCGCAAGGAGAATTAACAACCCACTGAAAACGCGAAATAGTCAAAGTCTCAGGATTTACCTGCTGGTCTGGTTTCACTTATCTTTACCACGCGCTGGTCTTTGGCTGGCCGATGATGCGTGTGGTAGAGGTCCAGTAAACTACAAACGAACACGGCCTAGGCTCATTCAACTAATGTTAACCAAAATCAACTTGGATGTACTGCTTAGTTTGTTTGAAAGTTGACCACAGCTTATTAAAATCATGTTTTTTAAAAGGTTAAAGAACAAACTGCAACACCGGAAATGGTTTACTTCACCGAACACCGTCGGTTTGAAATTACAAACATCGTACACCGTGAGCCGCAACACCGCAATGCAAGTTGTTCTTCACCTCAAAACCGCACGAAGAAAAGGGTCAACACCGCAACACCGCAACATCGCAAACCCTAATGATTATGTTCCCCTCCTCGAAATTTTTCATTCTATTCAATTAAAATAGTAGCTTTAAAGAAATCCTCACCCTCCCCTCCCTCACATTCCTAACGATAACTGGTAAAACCTGCTAAGACTAAAAATCATCAAAGGCCTTATCGAAGTTCATGACACAACATATTACGAGATCAAATAATAATTCCCGAATTCGAAGTGCAAGCTAAAGCCTATGTCCCCTCTGTCGCTCCTGGATGCGAAAGGAAGAAAGGCCCTGGGAACGAAGCTGCTGTTGGGTGACGGAAGCAGGTAAACTTAAAGTGCTACTGAAACGTAATTTTCATATCCGAGATTTTTGCAATATAATAGAGTTTGGACGTTATTTGCAAACGCTGTGTACTTTTTTTGGGCCAACGCATAGCGGAAAGTACATTTTTAACCATTCGAAGTTGACCGGCTGAGATCAAAATTGGCGGCCATCTTGGCGCGGCCAAAACAACCCTTTGACGTCACTAATTGTGTACTTCTGTGAAAGAAGGGTAAAAGCATGGAGTGTGGCTTGCACTGTTGGGAAGCCGAAAAAGAGGATTTAGGGAAAAATGCCATCCTCGTCTTCTTCATCGGCGGCCATATGACTAATGTCTATAACAACTCGACCTAGCCCTATTATGAATGTCACCTGAAGTAGATTTAGTTTAAAATTTGACTCCGCGTTAGATTTGACAATCCTGAATCACGTGACCATGTTATCGTGACCTTCGCAATAAACGTCATTTCGACAAACTGTTGTAATGCAAATACACTCAAGTGCCAAGGTGGAAATTTAAATAAAGCATGAATTTGTCGACAAAACACGCAATAAAAAAGCCCCAATTACTACCGCATCCAAGCAAATATTTGTAGTTTCCCTGTTCCGTAGATATCAAGAATTTTTTATTATAGCTTTTTAGATATTCTGAATTTTGGTGCAAACATTTTGTATTGACCTCTGTATTGGCCTTATGCTCTTGATTTAAAGCAACAGATAAGGTTATGAATAGTCATTACAAATTTGAAAACACCTCATTCATTTGAAGGAAACGTTTCTTTGGATGAGTAATTTAAGCCTGAATTGAATAACACATTGGTAGAATTTTCTCAACAGCCGATTTTCAAATGCATTAGAGTTATCGCACGAAGTATGGAGAAAATTCAACGTATAAAATTAACTTTATCATTCCTTTATCTTTTATGTTGCAATCCTGAATCTTGAATAGCAAGCAAGTAAAGCTTGCAGATATTTTATTTCTACTTTGTTCTTTTTAAAGATTCACTTTTTGTTTTTAAATTTACATTGGGTTGTTACTAATTCAACTTTTAGAATTAATGGCTCTCTTTTTTTAATAAAGCAAAGCAAAGTTATTATCTATAGACCACATATCAAATATTCATAACAGCCTTTTCCTGTTTTCTTTGTCCTGGTGTTCGTCTCCGTTGTTTATTTTGCCAGACGGCACATTATCTGTTGTTTCTTCCTTGCTATTTCGTGTTGTGAACTTCCAAAAACCTGGTGTCGATTAAAGAAAACTTCCATGGCTTGTACCGTGTGTTCCATAAAAAAGTGCAAGGCCTGAATGCAAATGAGCAGTTTCGTGTCGTAACAAGAGTACTTTCGATCGACGCAATTTCAAACCACTTGTTCTTTTCTCCATCGCATTTCTTATTTCTTGTCGTTAACTAGTCTTTACGAAGGTAGAGAATCAGCAGATCGGCGCTGTTGATGCAATTTCTTTGGTTCGGTCGTATCAGACCTTGACCGCCCTCTCTTTCTTAGATATCGGCAGTAACGAATATCATCAAATGAATGTTCGCCGCCTCTTGTTCGCCTCTTAAACTCTTCGTCCTTTTGAAAACTCCGAATATGAGGTTTAAAAGAGACCCCCTTCGTTATGGGTGGTAGACGGGTCGGTGGAAGTTTCAGAGTCGGCCCTAAGCTGAGCTCCTCCTCGTTCAAGTCGAAATGACTCGGCGGAGGTCCAGATTGAGGTCGCTCGATTTGATTTGAATCATCAACAGTGAGAGCCCGCTGTTGAGCTTTCTCCACAGCTTGTAATTTACTCTGCAGATTACTGTTTGCTTTCTGTAGTCCGTGTAGAGAGAAATTGGTTGGTTTTCTGCCCACCCGCTTCTGCTCAAAGCTTACGGTCGATTGGCGTCTGTCTATAGCTGGCGCTGGTTCGGATTTGACGCTTTTCACGTCGGATCCGTTGTCGTTCGGCTGTTTTTTAGAAGACTTTAACAACGCATCGTAGACATCTTTCAAAGACAGACGTGGGTTAAGTTGCGCGGACGCCCCTTCCTCGGTCTTAAACGAGTCGGATCTTGATAGATTCAACGATGTGTTCCGCAGCACTTCGCGTTGCTTCAAAAGTTTATTGCGATCGTCTTGAGCTCCTTTCGCAAAATTTTTCCTTTCCATCTCCAGCGCCAGCCTGACTTTCTGCCAGTTGTGCGAAGCGCGGTTGTTTTTCTGACGCAAATCATGGTTTGCTCCTCGAGCCTTCACTGCGGGCTCCACTTGTAAGCTCTCTCGATGCACGCTAGCCATAACTTGTCAAGATCAGACGATCCGGCAAACGTCTGGATTTACGTCTGGATTCTGCTCGACTCTGAGGGTTGAATTAATAAATCTTTGTTTAAATAAACCTATTGATTGCCTATATAACCCTTTCCTCCGGTCTATACGATATATTGTTTGCTGCGCTAGTCCGTCGTTTCTATCAAAACACGTTGCCAAGCTTTGCAGGGGACAAACTTGTTACCTTAAGTGGCCCACTTTTTGTTCTACTTCTTTCTTGCGTGCACTTTTCACAAAGCCCGACTATACAATGACCTTATAGAGCTTTATTAATTACGTTAAATCGTTTCAAACCTTACGTAAAAGATTGCTTTGTTATCTGTGCATATAAATAAGGTGCTTTGTTCAAAGCCACTGATCTCGTCCACACAAAAGGGCAATAAAAGCTTTCTCTTCTTTCTTTCTCATTTTCTCAAAGAAGAGTCTCGAAACATGATACTAATTTTTTAAATTTTTCTCTTCTCCAATAAGTCAATACAATACAATACAATACTTTATTACCCACGCTACATCTAGGAGTGATAAAAACTCGTTAAAACATGTGCGTGAAACAAAAACATTTAAAAAAAGAAATAAATAAAATAAAATCTATTAAATCTACCGAAAAAATCTGCTTTTAAAGACATTTAAAAGTAGAAATATCCTTGGCGTTTCTAACATACACAGGTAACGAATTCTATCAAATCTCTTAAATCTATTAAATCTATTTAAAAAATCTACTTCTTTAAAAGACATTTAGAAGTAGAAATATCCTTGGCGTTCCTAACATACGTAGGTAACGAATTCCAGAGTTTTGCCGCCAAAAATGAGAATGACTTATGGTGCCATTCTAGATTAAAATTGGGTAGCGTTAAAAGTGTCCCCGACCCTCTTAGATTATAATTACAGATTTTAGTCTTAAAGAAATCTTCTATGTACCTTGGGGTTTCTTTATTAAACATTTATATACCAAAACTAAGGCCTGGAATTTTCTTCTTTCTTCTAACTTTCTTATACCAGCCATAATTAATAAATGGTTGTATGGTGTCGGCTTTCCATACCCTAAATAGATCTAAGAATATAATTATTGTTGTCTTCCAATTTTGTAACTTGACCTCTTCCAACTCCAAGTGATAGCGGACAACAATATTCTAAATGAGGCAAAATATATGCTTTATAAAGGCGGCACATCATTACGTCTAAAGGAATAAACCTGCGAATCATCCGTAACGCAGAGGCTTTGGTACCACGCCTTTTTTACTCGTTCAGATACACGAGTGGCAAAATTGAGCTTACGATCTAATGTAACACCAAGGATTTTAAGTGTATCACAAGCGTCCACTTCATTGTTATCTACACTGAAGTTAGATCGATATGATACTGGACCTATAGCCATTACCTGTGTCTTAGATGCATTGATCTGAAGATAGTTTTGCCGAAGTCATGTTGACAATATATGTAAATCAGAATTGATAATTTATTCTAAAACTGGAGGGGAAGCGTCCGATGCATTCAGTAGTGTCATCTGCATACAACCGTAGAGAGGTATTTGTAACCTGAAGGTTTAAATCATTATTTAGATATTAAAAAGCAAAGGGCCCAACAGGCAACCTCGTTCCCAGGGTTTTTCCCTTTTTGAATTTCTTGGTTGCCCAATAGGGACCCCTGAGGGAGGTTTATTACCAGCTTCGTTGTCAGTTGTAATCCTTTTAATGACGAATTTTATTAAATTTGTTTAATTTTTTATTGTCTGTTAAATTGTCCGCGGCAAAAAGTTTAAAGAAGGCAATACTCTGTTGTTATCACATGTACTTTTTTTTTCCTGTGATGTATAGCATAGTTCTCAGGCGGGTCAAAGTTGCTCTCTTCTTTAATAGAGGAGGTTAACGGTCTGAGAAAGGACCCTGAAAAAAGTGGTTTGCCGGCTAGCTCTCAGGCAACCTCGTTCCCAGGGCCTTTTCCCTTAGTTGGGGGTGGAGTTGGGGGTGGGGCGGGCGCCCCACCCCCAGCTAAGGGAAAAGGCCCTGGGAACGAGGTTGCCGAGAGCTAGCCGGCAAACCACCTTTTTCAGGGTCCTTTTTCAGGGTCCTTTTTCTTATGTCATCGAGTCAGGAAAAGAAGAGTGAGGGTGCGCCTACCTCCCTTCTAACTATTCTTCTGTTCCTACCTTATTTTTACATCATCCGCGATCCATAACTGAATACGAAATCTATATGATCGATAGGCCATGGACAATAATATCGATTTCTTGCAAATTCATGGCTTTAAAAAACATTACATGGGTTATATTAAAGTTCACAAGACAATCAGGTGGACAATCAGACATGGTTTCATGCGACTCTGGTTAAAGGATTTGATGAACGGTAACCAGGAAATAAGAATTCATCAACCCAACGTTTGTTTCACTGCACTTTGTGATTTGTATTTGGTGCATTCATAAATAAGGGAGTGTGATACTCCTAGGAATTTAGTCATTCTTTTTCAATTTCAGTCCGCTATGATCAGGGTTCGACATCCCCGCTATCCCAAGGCTGGTAAAAATTTGGTCGGGCTGGTAAAAATCCACGTTTAATAGTCCGCTAGCTAGTAGAAAAACTAAAAGAAATTACACATAATTAGTTTACTTGCAGCTCACAGTTGATTAAAAAAAACAAGAAAGTTTAAATTTTAATGATAATACCAATAAAGAAAGCATAAGCCTTTCATCTTCTGACGTCTTTTTTTGTCTTGCGTGTTGATCGTAAACATCGCTCTATCCCAGACTCTGCACTTAATGGTCAATGTCTTCCCCAATCTTCTCCCTACCAATGTTGTGCGCCTTGCACATCGCATCGCACGATCGCTTTGTACTTGAAGCGGCGATTCAGCGATCTGTCAGTTACTCTGATGATGAGCGACAAGTTGATTGATCGAGAAAACGAGGCCTATGGGATGCTAACACATCAGGGTTTTAATAATTTGCGTTCACCTCGCACACAGTCAAGTGAACGTGAAACAAAAATTTACTTAGCTTTTTCGTTAAATAGCACATTACGTTATCACAATGAAAGAAAAAAACGCCATTCTTTATCATTTTAAAAGACCTTGCCAATAAGTTTAGAGGAAGGTTTGCGTGTTTGGAGTTGAAGTAGACCTCGAGGGAAATTGATCCGGGCTACCAAATTGTGTTTCGGGCTAGTAAATTTTAGCAAGCACTAGCCCGGTGGCGAGTAATGCAGGTAGCCAGGTGTCGAACCCTGTAGGCTATGATTCATAAAATCTTAAAGCTAACTTATTAAATCTTAAACTCAATTCATCTTGGCTATGTCACGAGGCACAAACGGCCGTCGATCTTCAGACTTCGTAGCAAGAAAAAGAGAGCTGATTTTTTCGCTCTGATGTTCTAGAGTGTATGCCACTTTATATTCCGGATCCTGAAAAGAGCTTCATGTTAAGATAAGATAGCAGAGAAAGAGAACGAATAAAGAGATTTCAACAAGAAAGGAAATCGAAATAGAAGCTAGCGAGTGAGATATCTTTATTTCAACTCAAACCGAACTTAAACTAAACTTGTTTTCTGATGACGTACCAACAGGGAAAAAAAAATTGCAATATGCCTCATTTTCCCTACTGGGTTGAACTAAAATGTCACCTGAATTAAAATTGATCGCACCAAAAAGACCCAACCGCAGAGACGACGAAATTACCACAATCTTAAGAATGAAGTCGTCAGTAACACAAATTGAAGGTTCTTTGTATATTTTAAGTGCCCTATTTCAGGATCCAGAGTATTTTCTAAAGTTAAAATACCTACAAACAAAATACCTACAAAATACCTACAAAATACCTACAAACAAAAAAACACTGCCAGGCATACTTAATAATGTTTATGTGATCTTTTATATCAATCGATTCTCACCATCACACAATTAGAAAAAAATGGTGCCAACGATGCTGAAACGAATGAAGATGGGCGCTAGATATGTCACAATTATATTTAGTGTAAAAAAAACCTATCCTACTTACGCAGACTACTAATAATTTAACAGAAATGGTCCTAATGAAACTAAAAATAGCCACTAACAAAGAAACTCCACGAAAAAAAAAATATTGTATTGTATTCAATAGCTAGGCTAAATACAATACAAATTTTCAAACGCAATTCTATCCTAGGGCGTGTTTCGTTGACTAATCAAATTCCTCATTTAGAATGATTAAAAATGCAAGTTTTGGAAGAGTCTATGTTGATGCTTGCTTTCCTCCTTTATCCTTTACTTTATCTGTCTTATCTCAAGTGCCATATTCTTCTTGGTGGTTCTGACGCTATGATTCTCGATTTGGACACCTCTGCGTAGAGACCAGAACTTGAAGGCCGCTAAGATGCGCAAATACTCTACACGAAAGGAAGGATTCATGATGCCATAAATGATGGGGTTGAGAGAAGCGCTGGCGAATGCTAAACAAGTGTAACTCACGTACACTTGTCGTTGGAGTTTCCAATCTGAGTTTATAAAGTCGATCAAGTCGATTACTACAACAGGCGTCCAGCAAACTAGAAAACCTGTCACGACGACTAGAAGAGTATAAGTCACGTTGACTTCGTCCACTGAAAGGCTGCAGTTTATCGATGGATCAAGTTGGCTTCTACCACGAAGCCGGGAAACGAAATTCAAATTGTGTTTCCGCACCTTCATGAACACCCTGGTATAACATACTATGATTGCAATTAATGGAACAGCTACGTACACGAGGACCAAGTACGCTCCGTAGCCGTTATACAGACTCTCGACGTTATGCGCACACATGGCTTTCGCAGGATGGAAAGAAAACTCGTGTCCGGCAACGACGTAAGGAAGGGGTGCGAGGAAAGCTATAATAAACAAAATCGCCATCGTTAGTCTGGTTTTCTTGGCGTTGAACACTGTTTGATACAGCGCACGGGAATGTACCACTCGAAAGTACCTGTTTACAGCAGTAACGGCTACAGTTTCAAGGGAGATTGCACACATCAGGAGAATCCAAAAACCCTGAAGCTGGCAAAGAAAGTTATTGAAGGGCCATCGTCCAACCATGAGAGTGGCTACTGAGAAGGGAATTCCAAGTAAAGATAGAAGAAAGTCGGAGAACGCCAGAGTTATGATGTACAAATTGGTAACAGATCTTCCAAGAGATGGATTTTTGATTGCAGCGATTCCAAGCAGAAGATTGCCGGCAAAGGAAGTTAGATTAATAAGAAGCATCACAAAAGATTCCACGAATCGAATTGCCGTTGTTCGACTTTGCAACTGTTGGGAGAACACCTCTGTACTTGTAAATGTGACATTCATTGCGTTCCCTGAACGTTCTATGTTCCGAGGAGTGTGCTTACGAGAGCGTGCGAGCTGATCCAGTAATCACGGAAGCACAAAGAACCGAACTCAAGAGAAATCTTACAATTGGGGATGAATTATTAAAAAAGCTTTTAAATTTTCCCTATTTTAACTGTAAACTCTGTATTATAACTTTCACCTGTTCTGCTCTTTCACTATCAGGGTGACTTGCAATGCAAATATGTTGTGAGTAGAAGAATAATGACATCAGCACGAGATTTAGCTCAAATTAAAAAAAATAATTATGCTCTTAACTCTGTAATAAAACAAGTATTAAACGATTTATACAAAAGGTGTGTCGCATCCTTTTAGCGATAGTCTTTATCTTTTGTCCGATTCTCTACTTTTAGCAGCAATAAAAGTAAAAATGTCATATCAGAATCTTAATTTAAGCTGAGCTTAATGGACTCTTTAAAATCAAAACTCTTTATAAAGTGACTCTATGTAATCACTTTCGGTTCAATGATAATTGAAATCATTTGAAAGGGAAGTTAAATTTGTCCTTTTACTGCAGGTCAACATTTGTAAATTCAAAAGCCAGATGGCCTGTAAACATAGGTGGAAATGCAAAGCTGATTCTAAAGGTTTATGGTCGATTCACCACCACAACAAACTCGCCACCACTCTAATGAAATCGCCACCAGTGGCGATTTGACTTAAACGATATGTGCAGCCTCTCGTGTGAAACTTACATCAATAAATATATTCTTTCCGCGAGGGACAAATACGTACCGCTGCATAATTTATCATTGTTTGATTAAAAAAAAAAAACAACAAGTCACTGCATAATTTCTGATTGTTTCATTCGAGAAGACATGTCAAAAACTCAGGCTTCGTGCTTCATCAAACACCACCTGTTTTTCGGTGATTGAAATCCGTGATATTACTTCTCGATTTCTGGGCTCTCCTGGACACAGTTTTTTTTCCTTAATAATCCAGAGAAAGAGCCATAAACGATGCTTCGTTCTGACAATGATATTGATCCAGTTATTTAACAAATGCAGCCGTCGGAGGAAACATCGCTGACAAATCACTTATTATTCTAATAAAATCTAAGTTTGATCCGTTTGCTTCAGGAACTCCTAGAGGACGCCAAACTGCTTTCTGCCGAATTTTGCCGCGTTTACGTGCACTCTTAATTTCACATAAAACAACTATAAAAATAAACTTTAAGATCTAACCTTTCGTGTGACACAAGTTTCATTAGATTTGATCGCGGATCGTGTTCATAATAACTAAACTCGTGTTAAAGCTCACGTCGACAAAACACAAGGGGTTTACCAAACATAGAATGGACGCCAAAGTCTGTTTGTGTAAACTTCGCTGTATTTGTACGCGCTTTTAATTTCGCACTATTCTTCGACTTCTTAGCCTGTATATGAGGTGAGTTTCATTCGATTTCATTCATATCGGCGGAAATCACTTAGCTAATCAGCAGCTTGAGACTGATGCCTTAACTTTGTTACATCAAAAGCTTTCCTGGCAATATAGAATTTAAATGCGCACGAACAAGACTTTAATACCAATAAGATGAGATACATTTTGCACAAACACAACGTTCTGCAATCTTGTCTTCGTTTATTCAGCTAACCCCTTTAGTGTTCTATTTTTTCTTTGTTTTTTTTTTTTTTTTTTTTGATAGGCAGCTGGTTACTCACAGTTACTTCGGTAGAGCACTTTTCGATTAAGTGTTACAAAATCAAGCGGCACACGACGTTCAACTTCTGACAAAGAATTGTATCACAAGGAAACAATGAGATCTTGAGATAAAGATAAAACGAATGAACTACTTCAAGCACTGGAAAGGTACATGGCGTGGTCATCTCTAGTTTTAGTTTCGTGTCTGATTGGTCGAGGACTCGGTGTGAATTTCAAAGACAAATCACTTAGCAGAAACAAAGTATACAATCAAGAATTTCTCTACACGGTTATACTATAAGCAACAAAGTAGAAGCCAATACTAAGAATAAACGTTCCCATTTACATTCTTTACACGCAATTTGAATTATATATACATTACATAACTGTTCCTACTTTGCAAATTTGATTAAACGTGTGTATCAGTTATTTGTTTTGTACGGTAGTCCATGCACTCTGAATCTGTACAGGCAGGTAAAGACAGGATTTCCATAGTTGGAGAGCACTTTGAGCTCAATATATCGAAATTCTGGTACGATGGTCGCCTAAACCCAAAAGCAAAACAATTCGTTACTCAATTACTCAGTAACAGCCGCAACGATCATCGGTGGGATTAACTTGGAAGCATGATTTTATCCTCACCTGCACAGGAAAATTTTGAAGGGCGTGTCCTCCATCATTATACACATATTCGCCCAGGAGTGCCTTTTCATTACCACGAGCATCAGCCCACCCCTGTGGAGAAGCAAATGAACGATATCATGAGTTTCTGAAGAAATTGTTGGGCAGCAGCGATGGGCAAGTAATACAATAAGTTGCCTATGAAATGTAAATGGAGCAAAGTTGTTGAACTGCGGTAGCGAATTTTTGAAGAGCTAACTTTTCGAGCGTTATCTTAATGAAATGCTCAAATTCTTTAAATTTGCCCTGAGGAAGAGTTCATCCCTGTAAATATCACCGCAGCATGGTGCTAGGACCCAGAGAGTGCAATGATATTTGTAGGTGTTAGAATGTTTTTCCATAGAGTATCCTTGAGGCAAAATCAAAGTAATCGTAGCAGCCAATCAGAGGAAAGGAAAATATCCTAAAGAGCCAATGAAAATTCAAAGTAAACACAAGCCAACCAAAGCGCGGGAAAACTCAGGAAAGCGTGGGAAAGCGCTGAAAATGCGGATGTCCGAGTTGTTATAAGGCTTAGTTTTCCATTTGATCGATTGAGAGAGTAGAGCGTATGACAAAGAGTATTTTTGTGGAAATATTTCACGCTGAGATCAATCATTCCATTTAAAACTAGTCGAATTGAGTGTTTGGGTCCATAACTTACCCAGACCGTGAATTCTCTAGGAGCACTTGGAATACTGTGATCCTCAAACTGGGACAGAGTTGTAGCCATGTGTTCCAACGTGAAAGAAGTGGGTTTGATCAAACGGGAAAGCTGGTAAGAAATATACATACCATTAGCTTCTAATTACATGCACTTTTTGTTTACTGCTCGTCAAGTTTTTTTCTTCCAATTTTCATGTAAATAGTCGGAGTACTATATACGTATCGTAAGCAAACGATTGATTTTTAAGTGATGATAGTTTTTAGTAGCTCACTTGGCTGTAGCCTGTGAGCTGGCCCTAATTTTTACTGCTTTGGCGGGAAAGGTTGAGACTTTCAACAATGCCAGCCGGCGAGAGATCTGCAAGGGATCTAGCACTGACAATTCCGAACTACAGGTAAACCTCTCCTCGACTCATCTCCAATCTTTCTGCGGGCGGAGAAAGGCACGTCGGGCAGTGTCAATAATACTGGTCGCAGAAAATGGTATGTAAATCCTTTTCGCAAATAATGGTATGTAATTGTGGCGTTGATGTAACTCTGTAGTATTGCAATTGTGAATGGCAAGCAGTTTTAATTAAGTAGTTCTATTACTGTATGCGATTGACCACATATCATACAAGGTGCAAACAGTGACGTCCACCACAACAAACTGACAAAAAAAAATCAGAAGTTAATTAGCCACCGACTGATACCAACCTTGAGAACTATAAAACCAGAGCTTCCTTGAAAAGCCCAACATTCTCCGGGGGTATTTCCAGGCTAGAATTAAACGAAGAAAAGAAGTCATTAGAATCTTGGATATAAAATACAAAGATTTGTAGACTCGTGCGGTGCAAGCTGATCGATGCTACGCGCATTGAGGTGATGCGCCACTTTTAAAAGAGCTCTTTCCACCGACCTTAGATTACCATTCCCAACTGAGTGTCAAAAGGAATCCGAGATTGCATCACTTTACTTTGCGCTGTGATTGGTTCAAAAAATCTCGCGCCATCCTTCTAACCAAACCGATGCAAGTCTAAAACCAATCACAACTTGGTCGCACGCGTTTTCCCGCGTTTTTGGTTTTGGTGTGAGTTCTCATTGGTTCTTTATGGTATTTTCCCTTATTCTAATTGGCCGTTGTGAAAATTTTGGTTCTTTTCAAGGGCTTTATTTAGGAAACTGAAACTGTCGTGATTTTTCTTAAAATTGATGAGAAATCCATGTAAACGTGCGCCAACTCGAAAACACCAAGGCTTCCAAAAAAGCCGATCACCGAGTACTTAACTATTGGCTCTGCCACTAACCTGAATGATCACCCTTGGTAGCTTGACGTCATACCACACAGGGATACCAAAGACTAACACTTGAGGAATGGCTCCATTAGCGAAGGTAGGAGAGTGATTTGCACCGTGTATCTGACCACCTTATAGTGAATCCAGACAAACAAAGAACACGACAAATTAGACAAGATGGTTGGTGTAATTCCAACACTAAATAAACTACCAACCTGCTGATTCCAAGGCGTAATCGGGGATACCAATCTTGTCCGCGTCCCAACGACGAAGTGCTTCTTCAATTATATTTTCCACGGGTTTTCCTTCGCAGGTTTTGGACTAAAGACAAATATAATTTGTCAACTAATCAAGCTCAATGGAATCAATATCATGAAAAAAAGAAAGTACAACATATATGCACAACAGAGTTAGTAGAGGGACCCCTTTGCTAACTCTGTACACAGGTAAATGTACAACATACCTGGTCTTTAAGTAAAACTTTCTGGTAAGCATGGTCTTGGAATGCTTTGAAAGAAACTGCATGTTTAAGAACACAGGCGGCTAGAGATGATCTCACAGTATAAAATGAGATTGAATCTTCATATAAAATATACATTCATATATTCACAGTTGTTAAAACCAGTATTGTTTCCAAAAAGTTCTACACCTGAATTTCTGAGTTCTTCCATGTCTCTTGTCACAATGAAGTCTGCCACAAGATCTTTCCTGACCCCCTCCCCCCTCCTCATAAAGAAAAAACAAACACTTTGCCTGATAATCAAATATATGCTTTGATGTAGGAGTATATCACTTTTATGATGGTACTTGTGATGTTGTTCTGTTAATACCTTAAAACAAAGTTATTCACTTTTTGACTTTCTTCCATTCAAAGCAGCGAAATCTTCCTAGACAATAAGTGTTGTCTGTCTCCTCACTCCACC